ACAAATCACAGCAAACTCGGATTTATGCAGAGAGCAAAATTGAAGTCAATTAAAAATGTATTGCAGGCGTACTTTTCAATGGCAGAATTTACTTAAAATTATGTAGTACCTTTTAAGCAGTGGCTATAATGGCAGGTGTATTTCCAAATTTAAATTACGGTCAGGTATGCTGTTTTGTCATTCCTGTGGTGTTTGGACTATAACATTTACACAATGTATGCACATCTGGGTCTGGGTGTAGGGCTGTGGGCCACTGACAATTACTAGCACTGGGATTTTGCCTAGAACATGGTTTCTTCTGAATGCCAGACATTGGCAAATGTCCCCTTCCACACATACACATACCGAGACATATACACCCACATATACACAGTTTGTTCCCAGCACACACACTTTCTTTCAAAATTGAGCAACGGAGATGGCTGCCCTGTGTGGTACCAAATCTGAGCTCTGTGTGAGAGATTTCCCACCTGGCGAGCATGATGTTGGAGTTGGGGTTGCTTGTGCCGGGGCCTGTGGGGCTCCACTTGATAGTGTAGATCTCTTTGCTATGAGCCTGGAGGTCGTGGACACATGACTCCTGCTTCATACTCCAAATCTGTGTGAAGGAAACAGCAAAAGCAAAACAAGACTGAATACAAATCACCACTGAGATTTGTTGTCCTTAAGCTGTAAGAGTGGGGGACTAGTCTCACCTTTAAGGTCATGTCATCTGAGCAGGAGGCAAGCAGCATACCTGATGGATCCCACTTGATGGCATTAACTTCATTCTGCAAAACACAAAAACTCGTTAGCGTGACTCTCAAGGGAGTAAGCATGGTATAAAGGTCAGGAGAGCAACACAGAAAAAGCTGTTTACCGTGTGGCCCTGGAAGGTCTTGAGGGGCCGGTCGCTGCCAAGGCGACATACGTGGATGCACATGTCTGTGCTGCAGGAGGCAAAGGTGGTGTTGTTCTGCCAGTCGACATCCAGTGCTGGGGCTGTGGAATATTTCAATGCACAGGTCCGCATTCATTAAGGGTTGGGAGGTTTATGAGCTCACAATACAACCACAACTGAGCAGGAAACATTTTGCATCCTATTTATGACCTACAATGAATCGCTTTTATTGTTCTGAAGCACAGTAAACTCACTTTACCTGAGTGAAAAGGGAACTGCTGCTTGGCTTCTCCTGTGTGTGCATCCCAAATGATTGTTGTCTGGAAAATTAAATTGAAACTTTCAAACCATGAATGCAACATTTCTGAATGCATAATTATAAATAATGCGACATATTAAATGTTCTTTAAGTTGTTCTCTAAAGGACTGCCAGGGTTTGAAATAAAAACCTGCCATCTCACCAAATAGGTAAGCAGGGTAAAAAAAAGACAACTAAACAAAATAAATAGCTAGTGTCATAGTCATTGTCCTTGGTGTGCGCCATTTTTTTCTGCCTGTTCAACTTCTCCATGGCAGATTTATTTTCAAAGAATCATTCACAATATCTGCAGTTCATGTCAGAGTAGCACAAAATAACTTGAATGTAAATAACTTTCGCAGATGACATTTTTCTATGTTTCACTTAACTTACTTATAAAGTTATATTTAATTGGAATTGGTTACATGCTACAATGATGCTGTACAAAGGATTTACTGATGAAAGTGCAGTTTGCGTTGTAGCTTGTGGATTCCTGAAAAATTATATCTTACAGATTTACACTTTAGCTGGTGATCAAAAAGGTGAATGTCAAGCCCTGGAGGTTATTAGAGGCATGAGGATATTATTATTGACAGACACAAATCCATGCTTTATTAAATACCTTATCTACACCAGCACTGAGAATAGAGTTCCCCTTCTTGTTCCACTTGAGTGCAAATATGGGCCCTTTGTGCTGCCCCAAGGTGCTTGCCAGATTTCCTAATGGATTAGAGCCATATCCATTTCTTTTAGAAAAGATCCTTCAAAAAATTGTCATAGATGTTGCATTATTCACAATAACAATGGCTTAAATCTAATGACCAAGGAAACAACACCGTTCTGGAATGATGGAGGACATACCATCCTTTGTCCATATCCTGGCAAATCCATCATACGAGCCCGTTGCCAGGAGAGTGCCTTCGCTCTGTTGGATGGAAAGATAACAGAACTGTTACTTAACCGTCCTCATCTGCACATTCTGCTTACCCCTTGGTAAAAGCAGAAGAGTAAAGATATGGATGGGTGTTCTGGAACCTACATTCCAGTCTAGTGAGGTGACGTCTTTGTTGCTGGGGACGTCCTGGCCACCTTCTCGGATACAGTGGCGCAGCACCAGCTGGGTGGAGTTGGAGTTATTATTCTCGTTCAGGTTCCAGATCCTAGCGGTGGAGTCCCCCGAGCTGAACAGAATACCAACGCAGCAGGAGGGGGTCAAAAGATTGTTGGAACATAAGCTGTCAGCGCTGACTCTTATGAAGCCATATATCATACAAAATAAAAGCCAAAGTGTGCATACAATATAGTATGACTCATCCAACATAAATTAAGCTCTATTTCAGCACAGACAGAGACTCACCCTGAGGCCAGCAGATCGCTGACAGGGTTCCAGGCACAGATGAACACTTCAGACTCGTGGCCTCGGAGCACTGTGGCTTTGCTGGCAGGTATCTCCACATCTACGTCCATCTCCATGGGCTCACTGTGGTTATCTGAGGAGAGTGGGCGCACAAGCATGCATATTTATGTATGCCTCAACACATACATGCAAACACACTTCACCCACGCATTGTTACCAGATGTGTAAGATGGTGAAGGGCTACCTTTAAATAACAGGAAGACATAAAAGAAAATCAATACTGTGTTTCTCCTGGTTTTTGCCAGTGCGGTTTTATTTATCGTAGTCTGATACTGACCCACTTGGAGTGCACACATTTATCACAGTATAATGAGAATCCAGTCACAGTGAAGCTTCCAGCCTTAAGAATATGTAAAAGCCTCCCTGTATCTTCTGACAGTGAAACCTTTCTCACACCCGACTCTTCCCGTTGCCATCCACACTTTTGAATTAAATTCTTCAGGGATGTGCTGATACAAACATCAACTCCTCTTCCCCTTGTCTAAAGCTCCACCTGATCTACACCTCTCTGGTTTTACTCACAGCTGCTATAATGATATCACATTCTGTGAAAACCACATGGCTGATTTGTTTCTCTGTAGGGCTGAACAGTTTTGAAAAATATCCAATTGCGATTATTTTGACTGATATTGCATTTATTGGAGGGAATGGTCATTTTTACATAATTATTCTCATGTTTTCTTAAATCTGTAGAATATGATGTGTTGGCCAGGACATCTCTGCAGCACAACAATATTTTTTTTAAAAATGATATTGACACAAATTTTGTCTTATTTCCATATTGCACCTCCTGCAATTTGAAAGTTGCTGTAGCCCATATTGCAGTTTCGATATGATTTCGATTAATTGTTCAGCCGTAGAAAAACTGATGATTTGGTAGTGTAATAATCTACCAGGCTGCTTCTTTATGAAAGCACAGAGCTAAAACACAGTGCAAGAAGAGTTAACTCCGGCCATGTCTTTGAATTCTCTTTCCTGTCCCACATGCAGATTCATATAATGGTACAGATTAGAGCCTGACCAATAAATCGGTGCGCTGATATTATCTGCCAACACAAGCTAATTGCAGATATATTGGTATCTGTGTTTATATCAGCCAATAAATGTCAATTTAAAAAAAAAAAAAAAAAGGAGAGGCATCTTCAATCATGTTATGAGTGTTGTCGTTGCACAGTTTGTCCACCAGAGGGCACTCTGCAACTCCCCCTATTGGTAATCCAGCACAAAACACAGCTGCACAGCTACTCTTTATAACAATAAAAAAAAGTTTATTTTTAAACTGCATTATGTTATCTAGATGAGGTTGGGGATAATCTTTGTTTATGTTATGCGTTTCTGAAGAGAAGGGAAAAAAGGAATACTGGCCATTGTATCGGAATAGCAAATCAGTATCGGTATTGAAAATCCCATATCGGTCCAGGCTCTAGTCCAGATGAGCCTGTGTACGCTCAAATACTAGTCAAACTAAGCATTACAGTAAGTCAACATAATTCTGCCATAGCCATGATAATTTGGGTTCAAAGGTACTTTATGGTGACCACTAATGCTACAATGAAACCAGCATTTTCTTTTTAACTTAATGGCTCTTTCATTTCAAGGATTATTCTTGACCCTTTTTGCCAAAAGGCTTTTTTCTTTTATTTTTTTTCAACATTATAACCATTTGTTGAGCTGCAAGTTTATAAAATTACATAGAAGGCAGACTCTTTTGTACTTGTCTGCTTGTCTCTTTCTTTTAACCACTCTTGATTACCATTTGATCACATTACTAATTAACAGAGACTATGCCATTGTCAATTATGTGAGACAATTAGGAGATCCAACTTACTAATGTTGTGAGTGCCATTCTCCTCCCCATTGACAGTGGCTTCTCCATTCTTTGGTGCGTTGGATTGGTTTCCAGAGGTTGACGCTGCCATGGCACAGGCCGCCTGCTGCTGAGCTAACTTGTCACGGAAGGCCTGCTGCCGCGTCTGCACCACGTCTGGCATCACCGCGTCAATGAGTGACAGCGACTCAATTGGCCGACCGTCGAAAACTGTACCATCCTGTCAGGGGAACAGCAGTTAATATCGCATCATGAGGCGATGTGACCTTTTAATTAGCGATTTGTCTAGAAATCCATTTCCTGGTAATGATCAATTATAGAGGTGAAGAGTTTCCTAATTGGGATTCCTCTACAAAACTTCTTCATTGGTTCTTCCAGCGCAAGGATGGCTGAAAATATTAAAAGCATTTGCCGTTAACCTGGTGTGTTGATGTAGAGATCAAAGTCTGTCTTTGTATCATTAAGCAACAGCAAACATCTGTGGGAGTTAGTAGCAGCAGGTCCCAGCACTCACCTCATTGATGCTGATTTCTGCCTCCACGTACTGAAGCCCCTTCTGCAGGATGGAGATGAGGGCTGCAGGGGGCACTAGTGTTCCATTGATGTTAGACTGGCTGATGTGGCTCTCGATGCCAAAGGTGAATGCTGAGTGGGAGAAACCTGAAAACAAAACACCATTCACATTCATTAACGGGAGAGTGCCAAGCACAAGATGTGCACAAACACATCACAAATAGTCACAGAAACATCTTGTCTGATGCAAACAAAGCTAACAGTAATCGAATACAAAACCAAACTGCATAACAAGTATGATATTTGAGAGTTTAATAAAGGCACGCCAGTATCAATGTTGACCTCACGGGGCTAACTAGGAGCTTGTATTGTGCCATATGGCTTCAGAAGCAGACTAAATAAACAGCAGCTAGGATTTAAATCTACATCCAAATCCTTTCAAAGAATGAATGGCAATATTCTGTGCACATACAAGGAGGGGGAATGGCCCGTTTATGTCCATCCACTATAAATGGAGGGTGCAAGTTTTGATCCGTAACATTAAAACATTATTAGTAGTATGTGCTTTGTCCTTAGAAATTGTTGCATGACAGCAATACTAATAATAATAATTTCTGCATAAACAGTATCAGTGGGTTTAGCAGATTTTAGTGAGACAAACCTGATTCTTGGAGGTATCTGTAGACCAGAAAGTTCACTTCGTCACTGGTAATACTCATCTTAGCCCAACGAAAGGGAGGAGGTATGTTGGAAGGCTGGGCTCACTCCTGAAAATATAACCAAAAATGGGAGTTGATATTAGCATTTATGTCTGTGGTCTAGCATATGACATGTGCTTACGTCATTCTAACAAATAATATCACACTCCAACAAAAATAGAATTCTGCACACTGCACAAATATGTCCCAGTCGTTGTTTAGTGATGCAGTCAAATGCAATCGTATTTTTTAACAGACACACTAACATACACATGGGACAGCCCTGATGTCCAGCCTCCGTTAGTAACTGCTTACTCTCCTCTTGCCCAATGCACAATGTCAATGGCTGGGTCACGAAACCTGTGAATCCATTTCTAGTTCTGAATGCAAGTATTTCCAGCCTCTCTCCTCTGACCTAATAGAGTGTCTATATCCATTTGGCTTTCACTGAGAACTCAATTGTACTTCCCATTAGTGACCCAGCCAGCCATTTAGATGGAAAAGAGCCCAGATAAAGCCGTAAGGATATTAAATGCCTGTCTACTGACCATCTAGTGAATTACAGAAGAAAGCAAGAGGCGAATTATTCATAGCATTCAGCCGGACCTTCCCATCTGTTATTTTCAACAAATAGTGGTGTTAAACAGAGTTTATGTTAACATTTCAATTGAGACGGTCTCAAAACTGAAGGGAGCTAAAAAGCAATTATGTTTTTAATCCCATCATGTTTTTTGTCCTCAGGCTGCTGAATACTGCAAGAATATTGCAGAGTTCTTAATTTCCCAATTTGCTTATACACCCACACACACACACACACAATGTAAACGTATAGTACACCTAAGAGAATTAGCAGGTTGAGGTTAGGAAAATGCTTATCAAAAGAAACCAACTGCAACCTGCTGAGAATGAGTCATGACAAACTATATAATAATTATTTCCTGCTCTCCCACTGACAGACATCTTTGCTGAGAATTCAAAGAGAAATAAAGAGGGGTGGTGTCAGGTATGAAGACTGCATGGCTGTCCAGCTTCCATTCGAAACATTGTCCAGGCCCACTCAGGTTCCCCTTTGGTAGCATAGCAACAAGAGAGATCGAGCAAAATAGACTAGAGAATGGTGTTGTCCCAATTACCAGTGGGCATACAGCCAGAGGGGTTGAACATGTTACTCAACATGAATTATTCACTCTTTCACCTTGGTATATTCTTTCCGATGGAGACTGCCCTTACTGTACCACAGCAGACATGCTAAGAACTAGAACAACATTTGCAGCTGCTGCAGCCATAAAAGTGAAGACATTAGCTAACATAAAAAGAGCTGCTATTACAGGCGCTCTGTGGCGTTTCCTTATAAACAAACAAAAGTTACGTTTACATTCACTGTTACTCACCCAAACGTGTGTGTAATCTTGAGATCAACCAAACGTGATGAATATTTCCCTCCACATAAAACATTTGTGAAGCCGATTTTTAAAAACATTTAAAATCCTGTATTGTTTACATCCATGTTTACTAACTTGCAGTCATCTTTTTCCCCATGTTTGTTGGCGCAATGCTGCGCTTCTTGGAGCATTACAGCTGCCTGCAAGTCAGTGAAATAATGTGACACCATCAGCAGGGCTGTGTATGGCATCACCCAAGTGCACATAAGCCTGAATGTTTGTCCTAATGCAGTGTGCACAATACCAACAGTGTTTCACACAGGATTTTGAGAGACTATGGTGGGTGGACATCGACCCTCTAGAGGATCCAGTGGCATGCCCCTCCGGAAGAAGTATTTGTACATTTTAAAAGTTAAGTGCATTAATTTGGTGCACTTTAAAAGCAAAATAAAGAGCCTAGATCCATGAAGAACTTTGCACTCATTCTAACAATTTTGTAAATAAATCACAAATACACTGTATAGATATAAAGGGTGACGAAATACCAAAAAAGTCAGCTAATTCATTTAAGGTTTTTCCAGCAACCCTAAATCAAAGTATAATTTGTAAGCCCTAACCCTACCATGTTAAATATTTCCTGTGAATATAATCCTATTAATCTCATTTGAATACTGTATACGTTAACATATTATTAACACCTTATTTTGAAAACCGGATTTTGTCACGTGTATCCTCACACTACATTCACCAAGTTTGACACAATTTGATACATTATATTGTATGTTGTGTTGTATTGCGTACAATTAATTAATTTAATAGCCTCTCTTCAGGTAAGACTCTCATACTGTAACACTTTGTAAAGTGAGAAAATTACAGAATAAAGTCGCTAACCCAGCCTGCCAGCTCGGTCTGCCCCTTTTAACTGCTTATTGTGTGCACTTACAAATTTAGCGGCTAGTTCGATCGCAATCTCAAACGAGTGACAGTGGATATACTCAACGTTGTTCAAACCCGTAGTTAACGTTACCGTAATTACATCAAAAGAAAAGTGCTTGTCTCGAGTCAGATGCCTAAGTGTGTGAGTATGCAAGTTTACAGCAGCGGGGAGCAGCAGCAGAAACACAACGTTAGAAGTCTTTCACGATAATATATTTTCGATTAATTTTTGAAATTATGGCAGAACAGATTAGACAAGTTAGACTGTGGTGGGCCGTCATAGTCTCGTTAATTAATGGGAAACACTGACCAACAAAACAGGAACCCCTCTCATAAATAAACAGCTCCATAGCACTACATCCTCCACTATGAACCTTTAAGATACACCTGCAGTAAAACAATCTTGCAAAAAACAGGCCAGAATCTCACAGAAATATTAGACATACAAATACTGGTTTCATTTCACTGTTTCATCAAGTCTCATTATCATTTAAATTAAATAACAAATAACACTCAAAAGCAAATGTTCTGTTTTCTAGAAAACACAACAGTAAGCTTGTCTACCTTGGCCATTGTGCTCTAATTTGACCACTGCCACCATGTTTCTCTTCAGTTTACATATACGACGAGGAAGCGGTAGCCACATCAAAGCAAGGTAGCCACTGTTCCCAAGGCTGCTACATACCAAACAACTGGAAACGTAATTAACAGGCAGCCTGGAGGGGCTCAGGTCCCATCGGTGCAGGGCAGCAGCAGTAATCCCTCTATCAGATGGGCCCATGATGCCACCATCCATTACACAACTCCCTCGACACCCAAGCCTCCTTTGACCAAACAATGTGCCTTCCAGGAAAACAGACAAAATGCTAACCTCTGCAATGGCTCTAGTGTTTATCCACCGAAGTGATAAGTGGAGTCAAAGTCTGCAATATGATCCCTCTGAAAAAAAAGACCTCACAAAGGGAAAAAATGTACTTGCTTATAAGACTGCTACACTACACTAAACACTATTTACACAGTACAGAAAGAGGTAGGAGATAGAGTTAACTAGACAGAGATATTAACAGATATAAAGCCACACATCCTTGATTATGGTTATTGCATTAATGTGATATTGCGGCTTAAAAGAGGTACAGGAAACACACGTTATACTCAGAGGGTGTTTCAAATATTTAGTCTACCCTCATAGGTACAGGGTGGACAAAATGGTTTGGTCAGCTATTTTGGTCAAGTAGTTAGTTGCAGAATTGTTTTAGCGCAATTACATTTTTAGGCATATCACCCAGCCCTATATGCCACAGTGTTAAGAATATTACTTGTAACATTCTTTCTCAGAGCTGGAATTCATTCATTTTCATTTATTTTCTGATGCCCCCAAAAACCTATATTTAAATAATTGAATGAACATCATAAACGTACGAGGACTAGTCAACTAAGGGTTTGAACTAACAACTAATAGTTGAATAGAAAACTTTTACTTGTGGCAGCAGTATTAGAAACACAGTTTCTCTATAATACAATACTACTCAACAGCACCACTAACTACAGCCTCCAAAATTAATCAACAACTCTTTAAAAAAGGTTCAATAAAAACTGTACATTAAAACCAGTAATGGTAAGATTTATTCCAGCACTGTTTGATTATTGCTGTATTAGTTTTAGGTAGGTATGTGTAGCTAAATAAACTGGCAACTGTTTGTAGGTATGCATGTGATTTTCTGTATTTTAAGTTAAACAAATCAAATAATAAAAAAGAAATCACCCAGATAGCATGGGCTGGAATTTCGGTAAGATCAAAATAAAATCAAAAAGACTCTTGGAACAATGCAGGCAAAGTCTTAGTCCCGCACAACTATTCCACAAGGCTTAAGTTGCTAAAGCAACATGAACCATGCCTCATCACTAAGGTAAAAAAGAAATCCCACAGCCATTAACTGTATATTTGAGCCAGACGAGAAACAAATACTACACTACGTGGAAATACTACAGAGCTGCTTTGCCACCTTCAACCTAACACGAAACCAAATTAAAAGTCTGTTTATGCTGAACGCTGACAGAGTATCAATACATCTATGGAATCAAACCATATTATGCATTATAATCATCAAATCGATTCAATCCCATCAAGTGGCACAACAAGGTATTAGGCTATGCTCACTCTCTGTGTATTTGAGACAAAGAAGAATGCACCAATACAGCCAACAAGCTGTGTAACATTAAACGTCACAGTAAAATGTGTGTCAATTCATAATTTATTTGGAAAAACTCACCCTCAAAACTCTTACAATGGAGCTACTGCGCCACTTTCTGCAATATATCTTGTTTACCAGTTTGTTTTCTATCGAGCTCTGACTGTAATTGGCACTACATACAAAAAAAATAATCAGTGTTATTCCTTCTCTTTTTCCCCTCTTTCATTCCTCTGAAGTTTTATATTGAAAGATCCTGCCAAATGGACAGGTTTCTACACTGATAGTCCTTGCACTGTTGTAAATTGCCATTCTCTCAACTAGCAGGTTAGACTAATGTGTCAATCATCTAGAAATGAACAATTCCTCTTGGTGTGACAGAACATGGTAACAACAGACCCAGTGTCCGAACCCAGAAACAAAGATGACAACACTTTAGAGCAAAACCAACATCAGTTATTGAAGCATTTCAATTAACATGTACTTGTCTATAAATTCTCCATTTAATTTCCTATAGCTTTATAAATTTCATTTATAGTCTCTAAATGAAATTATCAGTGAGCAACAATTGTTTAAAAGCATACCCAATATTATATTTACTCTACTCTGCATGGACAGTCAGTTCACATAAACAGCAACTAATATACATATACAATAATTAGATTGGTGTTAACATTTCTAAATGCAAACAGACGACCGGAGAAAAGAAAGACAATAGATGGGACAGACACCAACCTTAATAGGTCAATGATGAGAACCCCTGCTGTGGTCATCAGGCTCATTAGGCCTTCAGGATGTTTACAGCACTCTTGTGGCAATTGCTTGACAATGTGAACTACACCAGCTTGCCAAGACTACATACTTGCACCTCAGAGCATGATGGCCTGAAGCTGTGGTCAAAAAGGCCTTTATACTGTAATACTGTCGTAGGGATGAACGATTTTACCTAAAATCAAAATCACAATTAATTGAACATTATACCTCGATTACAATAATTGAACAATTCTTTTGTTTTTGAATGTTGTTTTTTGTTGGGCCCTCATAGATCACTGACAAGGTTTGTACTGTAAATAAGCTCAGCTATTAAAGCTGGGTTTATTTCGTTTTTTGATTCACAGATTTCACAAATCCATTTTCTAAATCTTAATTAATAACGTAATGTTTTCCCTGTATTCGGCGCATCACTTACTGAATGAATCAATGCAGAACAAATTGTTTTCACTCGCACACTGTCTGAAAGTGACGCTGAAAGCGAGCAAATAAGAAGTTGTCAGTCTGGCAGTAAATGTGTAGTGTAGGTATACAGTCTATGAGTGTAGGTCACAGTGTGTCTGTTATTAAAAGTCGGTCTGTTGTTTCCACAACTGCTGGAAAGTGAAGGCGGTTAGCGCTAGCTAACATCTCCCTATGCTTCAGACTCCGGTCTGAAGGTTGAGCAGGACTTCCATCTCAAGGTGACAATGACAATCAAATCTGTCTAAACAAGCTATGTAACAACTGACACTTCACTCCCACAATTGCAACATAAAGTGCATATTTTCTTCCAACTTACTTGTGTAACTACATGGATTGTGTATTGGGCTGTAAGACCTCTCACTTCTGAGTGCACAGCTGTACTGTGGCTGAATGCTTCTAATGTAGAAACTGACACAGGACTGCAGGTCTTGTGGATGTGCTGCTTTCACTACACAGCTGACGTAGTCAAGCTGTATTACTAACTTCAGTTAAAACAATTTCCAGATGACTTGGAGCAGAAAAATGTTCATCTATTACATTGCTATTATGTTAAGATTATGCTTTGGGATCAAGTTTTGAATCTGCAAATAATGAAGGGATACAACTGAATGGTCCCTGAACCATAACATAAGTCTGTGGTTTATCATGTACACATTGTAGAAAATGGTCTCATAACCAATAAGAAAGTGCTTATTCATTGATAGATCTGACGTATATATGTGGCTGTATGGTGAAGAACAAAACTTGCTTACAAGAAAAAGTTTGAGGGAGTTTTTTTTACTCAAAGTGTAAAGCCATGACCTTTACATGGTGTAGGTTCTTGGTAAAATTGGACACGTTTATATAATCAAACTCTGATTCAATTGCGTAATTCTGCTACAGTGTTTTGTTTGTTCTGGGGTTTGCATTTTTAAATGTCATCACAGAAGCACAACTAATGAAGGCATTTGAGCATGTATTAGACAACAACTGAGATGCCTATTAATTTATAAAAATATTTGAGTTGAAGCCAAGCAGGTGTCTGCACAGTCCACTTATTACATGGCAGCACCTCGAGACAGTGTGCAGAGTTAAAAGAAAAGAAAAAGTTTGAGGCTAGAAATTTTGATACACTAATATGTTGTTGATAGGAATATCTAATGATGAATGCAGATTATTAGGAACAAGACAGAAAAGGCGGGTAACATGAATCATCATTTACTGTAAACCTTCAGGCTTTTCCATCATAACTAATGTACAATAAAAGAGTCAGGACATTTACTATCTAGATAAAAAAAAAGAATTTGATTGACTGGAATAGCAAAAAGCAATACTTTAACCACACCATGTTAGATTTCAGCTACCCGGGTTAAAACAAACACACCACTGCTAATAACTCCTTGAACACAGCGCTCCAAATAGGGCCTGTCACAAAGAAGCATCCATCCATCACTGAAATCAAACAAAATGCTTTCTGAACATGAACATTTGAATGCAAAAATAATGGAGCACAGAGAACTACACAACCAGCCATCTCCAACACATGCAGGTTTTGAAAAGGATGATATTGAAAACCAGCACACCGGGGACCCCATTTTCTCCTGAACAGTCACCTCCTGACAGATGTGCAAACAAGACCTGGAAACAGCAGCCATTTTCTCTTGAACCGCTCTGCTGAGTAAAACCCGCCTTTGAAGCTTCTGGTTGGGCTGCAGTCTGGAGGGGGGAGGTGGGAGGGGGGGAGAGAGCGAGAAAGTGGAGGAGGGGAATCAGAGAGGGGGATGGTGGAATGGGAGCAGGGTGATAAATAATGATCTTTACACAGGTAATCACAACAACCATTTGCGCATTATTCTTTGTTTCTCTCAATGAGTCACTAAGCGGCAGCCAACGTAGGTCGGCAAATGGTGGGGGATGGACAACTAAAGTCTCCAGGGGAAACACTTCCTATATGTGGCAACACTTTTAATGTTTACCAGAGGTGGCCAACAGTGTGCCATGAGAGACAACAGCCAGCACATTTTCATTCCAACAAAACGCTCTACCCACTGATTAACACTTCTTTAAATAGAGGGGAAGAAGTCATACATGAAATTACCTGCTGAGATTATCAGATGAATGAAAACATATTCACAATTAGCTCTCCATGCATGCGCATAGGAACCAGTGGACCTACTGGTTCTTTCAGTAGTTTACAATAGAAAAGGTCATCAGGGTAACATATTAGTGGGTGGTTTTTAGTGCAACTACAGCCACCGATCCTGCTAACATGCCCCAAACCTATGATCCTCACACAAATTACAATTACGCATTGATAGATTTTCAACAATATGATTGTTAGGTTCGGGTTTTTCTCTTTCAACAGAGAATTGCATGTTCACAGGCACCACCATCAAGTATATTTTCTCCCTGGGGAAAGAGTGGGGGATGGTGACAAGACAGCAAGGATCACTGAAAGGATTCATCATATCTACTCATCGGGAGTGTCAGGACCTAAGAGCTTCCCTCATGCTCAACCCATTAGCATCAAATAAAAATGACAACTCCCGCTTGCTTATTGCCGTTTAGAATTCTCTGTAGAAACCAAAAAGGATTTCAGCAGTCTTGCATTGTTCAAAGAACAAATCCTATTCAATTCCTATTGATGTGGACAATATATAGAATACATGGAAGAAACAAACATCCCTAAAGATTATATTGATTGTCAAAGAGAAAAAAAAAAACAGACACGGGGACAAAGGGACCAATCACTACATGCAGTGCATTCCTCTATTCAAAATTATTAAATGAAGACTGATGAGTAAATGAGACGTTTTATATAGCCGCTCCCTCACTACAGAATAATTAACTGCTGTGCTGTGTTGTGTTGCCTCAATGCTACTGGATGCATTATTCCAACTGGTCTTTCTGGATAGTTTTTCCATCCTGTACCTGTAGCAACATGCCAACACCAACGCAAACCTTTGCAATTTTTAATGATATTTTTGATTATACTATGAAGCAAATTCAACATACTTAAGATATCATTTGGGGGCTTTTTGCCTTCACTAACCCTACAATCGCAATCAGACTAAGCACTCACACGACTTAGTTATCAACTCGGTAAGTCAACTCAGGGTTTCCCAATCTAGCTATGAGAGCATTCGCATAAGAAGGACGGTGTTTTTGTGATTACCAATCACAATCATGGACAAGTCTACTGGCAGCAGAGCAGCATATTTTACAAAGAGTAAAAACTAATAGTAGTCAAATACGAAGTTAAACACATAACTTCTTATAAACACAAGTTAATAAGAAGTTAAACACATAATCCAGGCTGAAAGCAACACAGTTGTAGATGCCAAATGCAGAAAGATGGCGTGTGTGACCGTTTTAGCCTTATTCTTTAAGCTGCAAAGGCTGTGTGTCAGTCAACATTAACAAAGAAAAGTGGTCTCTCCCATTTTCATGTTCTCATCACCTCAAAAATCAGATTCATTTATTTAACACACTCAAAAGTGTTCCAAACATTGTTCTACATTAACTTCATAAAAGCAGCAAAACAAAAAATCCATTCATGCCATAAAAAGTGGCTTCAGTTTCCAACATTAAAAAAAACAAACTCACGTGCGCCCAAATAGCAAAAGGCAAGGCGGTTCATGACCAGTCTCTATATCATTACAAATATCTATAACATAAGAAAAGCAACCACAAGTATAATAAAAAAATCTTAAACTCAACTTGAATACCAAAATATATGCTCATAATAAATAGCCTCACATAAAAAGAAAAATCAAAGAATTCAAAGAAGTGGGGGGGTACTTTCACATCTTCAAAGTACAACACTAAGTACAAGGCTTTAGTGCTTCAGTCTCTGTTGTAAGATTATATCGGTAAACAAAAGCATCTCTGCACCACCAAAAGCAGCCTAAAAACAGTCTTCTACAAATGGTTATTCTATTTTATGAGATTATGAGATTTGACTGGTCAGTAGGCGGTGCTTTTATAGTGTTGATCTCTTATCTCGAACATAACCTGCTCCGGACAGGCTGGGTATTCACATCTTATGCGTAAGAAGTGAACCACAATCAGAGGAATGAAAACCCAAAGTTCAACTTGATATTGCTTTAGAGTTTTATGAGACATCGAGCAGCTCCCTCTGAAGGAGAACTCCCCAAGACCCGTAAACCAGGGGTGGGCAATCTGACCATTTTAGATCAAGATCGTGATCTAAGGCTTCCACAATCCACTTTTCACGCGATTAATAGAGATCATGGTATTTAATGTCCTCTTACTTCTGTTTTCCAAACTTCACACAACCTCACTGACTAGCAGATTTGTGCTACATGAACAAACCAGCAGTGATGTAGCCAACTAGATGGTTGTGAATTGTGTTAGTTTATGATTATGTTATCTTTTGGCTTTAACTTTAAAATAACTCCATTTTGAAACCTGTGTAATATCTTTAATGTAATATTTGTTTTAATGATACAAATGGAGAAATTCATAGGTTATTTTTCTGGCTATACGCTAGTCGACAGGATATTTCAAAATTGAGAAAAAAAAGATTCCAAGGTAAAACGGGATTGCAGTTAATTAAATGGTGGTTATATTTTTTGGCCAGTTCCGCCGCCCCTACTGTAAACTATTTCTTAAAGGGACATTAAATGATTCTGCAGTAGGATTGTTGATATTTGAACTCACCTGCCAAACAAATCTCTTCCTGCTCACCTCCCCCTATCACTCCTGTGCACAAGCACTAACGCCACATGTTGCTGATTGAGGTTGCAAACTGTGAGTATATATTGGTTGAATTTAACAAAGTGTACTGGATTACAATGACTTACTATCCCTTTAATCATAGATTCGGCAGATCAGACACACTCATACGACTCGTTTTTGGAATGGTCCCATTTGCCATTTTTGCAGATGCTCCATTTTGTCATGAAAACTTGTTGCATATATCATTAAGTCTTAAATATGGTTAAAAAGAAAGAAATATGATTATTGGTCAGCTACATGTTAAGACAGCTTTTACACTAACCAGGTTATTGCAAGGCAAATACTTAGATGTTCTGCTTTAATCTGGTTTCTCAAAATAACCTGGTTTGATATGTGCATGTACACACACACACACACACACACACACACACACACACACACAAGGAAACAGTCGCTGTAGGGCATGCATGTGGCTTTGTGGGGGTGGGTGGCAAGTATATACATTGTGTGGAGGAGATTGTGGGACACAAAGCTCTTTTGATGCTCAGCACAGCACATATACTTAGACAATACAATTTTCATCATTCCTAAATGAATAAAGCAGAAAAAACGGCTTTAATATATATTCTACATGTCAATTTTAACGTCCAAACTTAGACAATAAATAACACTCCATTAAATCCTATATGGATAAAACTGTGTACAAGATGGTTTATTGCTCCATTTGAATTTGCCAAGGACACTGAATAAACAAATGGAACACATTCTCTTTTATACACAACAGAATTCACTGTACAACAATGACAAGTTTGCAAAATAAGGTGGCTTCAAATCTAGGCCATTGCATAGTTCTATGTTGCATGATATGATAAAGAGCCACAAGTTCCTGCGTACTGCATCTGAAATCAAGAGTAAATGATCGGTACATTTTATCAAAACCAACAAACTGGATGCAACATTTGGCAGTTTTCTGGTTTGGGTTAACATATAATAGATCAGATTTTTGTCTCCACTACTGACAGGAACTGAAACTATTTCATCTATATAGGAACATACAGTATGTCTTAACAAGCTCTTATGTAAGCACAGTTTCACTAAGAAAAAATTTATATTTCTACACTCACTCAGCAGTAAGACAGAATCAAGGGTTCTTGAGCTTTTCGTCGTCAACATAGGGGCCTCAGCCAGGCAATTCTTTTTACAGCTAGGTGAGGATTGCACAAATAAGCTGTAAACACAGAGACACACCAGTGTGGGCAATACAAGTGTTGCTATGGTGACCAGAAGATCTTGCTTCTCTGTCAACAGCTGCTCATGCCACCCAAAATACCCCCCACTCTCCTTGAGCTTTCCCTCCATCTGACATCAGGGTCAAACAAACAACGCAGGCAAGTGAGTTGAAATACTGATCTTCATTCTAAACCATCCCCTGACTGTTTCTTTACCTAGCATTTACACAGTGCGACACTAATACTACACTAATACCACACCTCAAAGATTTCCCTTTGTAGTGTGTGTATGTGTGTGTGTGTGTGTGTGTCTCTGAGTCTATCCTGCTAAGCAACTGACTGCACACATGGGATTAAAGGAATTGTTGGAATTGTTTCCAATTTCTTGTAACTAGAAAGGAACGTGCACACACACACACACACACACACACACACCTGGTTAGACTGCAGTTAATCTGAATTTTGTTATTTAAGAAACTGAGAAATTTACAAAGATATATTATAGATAGTCATGATATATCAATCCTGGATTATTTCATTTTAAGTACATTCTCTTCTTTTTTTGCTCATTTATAAATCACTTTACACCAAATTGTTTTGAAATATGTTGTTAAGACACCCTGCTGCTATATCATAAAGACACTAGACCAAAAATGTAGTCTTCTTGAGAGGAGAGGCAACAAATACACCAATAATCTCCTATATAAAATTTACCATGTAATATTTCATAAGGCCCTGGGTAAAGAAAGACTACATAGATATAAGTGTGATTTCAAGAAATGAATG